TTTACACTTTTTAAATTTATAGTTGCTGTCGAATGTACATATCTGAAATAATATTATATAGCACATAATACATGTATATTTCACAATAGAATTTAATAGGTAATTGTATGAATGATATATTTATACAAAGACACATATATAATAAATATATTTTATTTCACAAGCACATACTCTGAGATAATATTGAGGAAATATAATTTTAATTGTATTAAAAACGGAATAATATGGAAGAATAGATATATATGTCAAAATATACAATATAAAATTATGTATAATGTGTTCTTTAAAGAAAAGCAGCTGTAAATTCACTGTTATCGGAAATATATTACATTATTTATATAGGATTATAGTTTTATTAAATGCTTATATGTAGTTATACAAAAAGGAACAAGGATCAATAAACACAAAAACACTATGCATATGGTGTATATAACAAATATTATAAGGAATAAATTATACAAATATATATAAACAATTTAAAACAAAGAAATAGTATTAAATGAAATATATGGTGCAATAAATCTGATAATAATATATTTTAAAATAACAAATGAATATATATATATGTATACAAAAAGATTAATTTTTTTATGATATTAAGGAATTTTTGCATAATAAAAATAATGTAATGTATAATATAATTTACCTACCATGTCCATATTTTATTTAATGCACATAAATGTAAACTACAATATTAATACAATTCAATCAATCATTATAATATAATTGTAAACACAGATTATTAGAATCGTTAGAAGCATTAATATGAAATCAGAAACTATAATGTAGGGACTATAAGAATAAACAATTATTTCTAATATTAAAAATTAACCCCCGAACCGTAAACCCTAAACCCTGAAACAATTTAATATTTAATCATCATTGTAACATGTGTATTTTTACATAATTTTATATTTTACTTCAAATAAAATATATCTAAAATTTAATATAATATTTTTAAATATATAATCTGTATACATTAAGAATAATTAAATTACTTTTATTATTCTACAGCATTATATAGTATGTTATACATATGAGTTAACTTTGTGTTTTCTTTTTCAAATAAATTGCATAATTTGTTTGCTTCATTTTGTTTGCACCACAAACTCTGTAGCCTCATTATAAATGGTTGTAAGTATATACTATATTTTGTATACTGAAAATAAAAAAATTAACATGCATTTTTTATAAATATTTTAATAATTTGACTTATAAATCTCCTAATAATGTTTATAATAATTTGTAATATATCATAAGTTCCATATAATTAGTTTATTATTAACCTTATATAAAATAAATGTAGTTATTGATATAACAGTAACTACAAGGAATGAAGCTATAAAAGCCTTGTGCGAATATCTTCCATAATAGGAATACAGGATTTTAGGAACGTTTTTGCATCCAGACCATTTTTGCATTTCTAAGTTATATTTATCTTTAAATTTTTCCAAAACTTCACTAAAACTTCTGTTATTGCTATTTTGACTTATTAATAGGAGCTCCCTATAAAATTTATAGCATTCAACACCATAGTCACAATTATCAGGATAATCAGTTAAAAATAAACAATACTCATACAATTCTTTTAATATACCCATAATATAATATGTACTATCACTAATATCAACAACATGGTCCTTGCATATGTCAAATAGAACCTTATCATTATTTTCTGCCTCATTTTTCATTATTTCATAACATTTTTTTTCCCCGAACAAGAAGGTTTACTTAATTTTAGTTCATATTTCAGCTTGTAGCTCAAATATTTACATGATGCTTCTATTTTATCAGATGGTTTGTCTTTGATGTGTTTTAAATATTTGATAATTTCTGTGCAAGAAACTATAAATGTTTTATTCGAATTCACTATTATATCATCTATTTTTGTGCACAGTGCATTATAGTCAACCTTATCCTTTTGATCTACTTGATGCATTTGATGCTCTTGATCTTCTTGATCTTCTTGATCCTGTGTATTATTATTTGTAGCCTTATAATTATCATCTATACATGTGGGAAAAATATCTTTAATATCAAACTAAAAAATAAGATAATTATATATGAAAAAAATTAAATCGATAAGATAATGTAAAAATTATATACAGAATGTTTATATATCATGGTATATTAAACGTAGTAGATATAAACTATAGATATAATGACAAATAAAAACGTACATCCTTGTCTACAGATATAGTATTACCCATATTATCAAATTCTTGTTAATTAATATAATACAGAATTTTTTATTTTTTAATAATTTATAAATAAATATGTGATTAACGTGTCCAAACTAATGCTATATAGACATAATATAAGTTAATTATAGTAACTGTTAAATTTTCACAATTTCGTGTAATAACCTTTCATAATAAGCATTTATATATATTAAAGTATGGAACTATTATACACTGGATGGTGTAATTTTACATATAAATAATATGAAAAAAAAATTTCTATATGTCTTACATAAAAATATTAAAGGATAATATTTACATATGAATTAATGTTATATATATGAAATATATACAATATAATAGTTATCCTCAATAATAATTTATTTAAAATATATAAACTCATATTATCAATAAATACTCCTAAGTTTTTAACATGAATTTTTTATTTGACTTTAAATATTGGAATTAATGCATATATTTATAAAAAAACAAATTATAATTTTTTAAAGGATTGATTATATTTTCATATATTTTTAATTAATTTTTTTTATTATATTTACATGTTTATTGCTAAAAATATAACACGAATTTCAAAAATAAAGTAAATATTATAAATTATGATATAAATATATATTATATTGAAAATTAATACTTAATAGAAAATACAAAATTAAAGAACTAATTATATATTTACTTGTAATACACATAAATTAGTAAGTAAAAATTGTCTAGATAATAACTTATAATAACTGTGTACTACTTATATGGTTCAATTCATTATAATCCTTAAAAAATATTAAATAACCTTTATTTTCACTGCAACAATACAATTAAGATACTTATTTATACTTGTCCTATTACAAAAATATAACAAAATTTATTATTATACAAAGAAATGAAGAAAATCCATTACATTACTTGTAACATAGCAATATTATGTTATTTTGTAGCTTTAATATATATTTCTTGAGTTTTATATTAATAAGAATATCTATATTACATAGTAAAACATTAATAATTAAAAAAAAAAATTGGTGACATTTAAAAATACATTTCACACTAAATTTGAATATTTTTGTATTTAAGTGCATGAATTTTTATGAGTTCTATATAAAATGTTATTATATCAATAACATCTTTAATACAATAGAGTTTTTTTCACTATATATAAATATTTAATATAAAGATTTAATAATAAGTAATAATGGAAATATATATTTTTTCTAATGAAAAAATATATATAAGAAAAAAAAGCATATTCTATCAGAAAATATCCTTAAATGTTTTACGTCAAAATTATAAATTCTTATTTATTTCAAATATTTTCTTTTTATAATATTATTTTACAAGTTAAATTAAATATCAATCAGTTATTAAACTACTATTAGAAAAATAAAATACATCCTTATATATATTTACAAAAGTATTATGTTTACCATGCATTATTTATAAAACATATTAATAATAATTTTTTAACACTATTATATAAAAAAAAACCAAAAATAATATTAGGTGAAGTTATATTATACATGAAATTTTATGATATATAATTTTATATAACAGGATGTGTCATTGTTAAAGGCTAGCATAATTACTATATTACATTTATATTTTTGTAAAGTAACTTTTTATAGTTTATATTACTTCTAATAATGAGATATTCCTTTTGTATATACGTTAAAATAAAGTAGTGCTCATTTAACACTAAATAATGTTTTAATTTTTTCTTTGAGTAAGTATAATTTTTTAATCTTTCTACAATGGTAAAATGAAAAAAAAAATAATTTTGTCATTTATATTAAATTCATAATGTGAAAGAACAATTTTACTTTTATATTAAATGAAGAAAAATAATGATATATTTTTTTGTGTAAAATAAATATTTTAAAATATAAATTAGCACTAATATTGGTAAAATTAAATTTTTATTAAATTATTTTTAACCATTAAATTATTGATGTAGATGTGTACGATTAGTGAATAACCAAATATATGCAAATTTTTTTTTATATTTTAATTATAATAATATATATTCAATTTATGTATATGATTAATATATACATAGCACTTCAATATGTTAGAAATAGGATAATTGAAATTACGAGATTTAGTTTAGTTAAGAAAAATATAAGCTCTTAAATTACTAATTATGTAAATAGATATAAAGCGTATAATAATGAAAAATGTAATTTAAGAAATACTTAAAATAAACATATAGAATAATCAAAAAGGAAAAGCATGATAATTGTAAAACATGTTCTATAGGATTATGTAAAATTTTTAATATGTCTTACAAGAGTTTTTCTAATTCTTTTTCATAATAAAAAATTAGATTATAATTTAATTATATTTTTTTTATTTGTACTCATAATCCATGCTAGTTATGTTAGTAAGAATTATATAATTTATGTAAAAAATTAATAAATCAAAAATAATAAATAATTTTTGGAATTCTTGCAAATATATTCTCTAAATTTTATTCTTTCTTTATATATATTGACCTACAGGTTAATATATTATCATGTAAAAATCAGACAGGTATATTTTTTGCATATTAAAGATTTCTCCAAAATAAAGAACTCTTGATATATATATAACTTTATCTTATTTTATAAAACATAGTCATATATATTTATTTATATTGTGTTAAATATTTTTTTTTAATTCATATAATAATTATAATAGTACCCTTTTTCATGCAGCCTTTGAACTAGACATACCTTGAATTTTTAGTTAAAAAGAAAAATTAATTTTAATTACATTACTTTTGTTTAATATATTACTATAAGTAAAATGAACAAAATAATATTTTTGTTTCATGAATGCCATCTATAATTTTCTAATTATCGCAGGAATATGTTAATATTTGGCTAACATTTTGTGTAACTGTTATATAATATAACCCACAGATGAAATGTATATAGTAATAGGAATAAATTATTTTATTCAAATTATATTTCATGAATATATATATGTTAAGTATACTAAAAAATTATATATATAAGCATTATTTAAAATAATATCTACTACTAAGGAAATAGCACGTTATTTAAAAATATCTTAATAATATATATATGCAGAAGTGTTAATTTACATACATAAAAAATTGTCTAATAAAAGAGATGACAAGATAAAAGAAATATATACGAACATAAACATATAGTAATATACAAAAGCACAATTTTACTATTAAAAAGATTCCTTCAAAAATTTATAATTATGCAATTAATATGTATTTGTATATATTTATTGAGCATATATTTATTTTTCATTTATTTTAATTTTTCAATTTTTTTAATAAGTTATTATTAAAATCTGTTAAATTTAGTTTTATAAATATTATTCAAATAATAATATTATATTCGCAGTAGAATTATTTTTATGCAAGGTCTCAAAATTACACCAATTTCATTTATTAAGAGCTAAAAGATTCCTTGGTTTTTTCTGTTTGGTAACATAAATCTGATGTTTAATCTATTAATTTATTAAAGTTAATACATTTTTTTATTGCCCTCCTTAATTTATAAAGCACTGAAGGTTTTAAAAATTTCCATAAAATATAGTGCACACCAGTGTTTTCTAAGCTTTATTAGAATTCAAGTATTTACGTGAGATTTAACATATATTTTGTATGTTTACGCCATCTACATTTTTATTTTTACAAGAAATTAAAGTTAATGAAGTTTTTCTGTTATATATTTTCGTAATGATTAATAGTATTCATATATTTTTCGATTTCAAATCAATTTTTTTATAAATCTTCTGATAATATATATATGATAATGCACTATACAATAGTAATTTAAGCATTTCTTATATGTAAAATTCATTTAAAATAATAATAAAAGAAATAATTATTAATTAAAAATGGCATTAAAATATATAACTCTATTCAGTATATTATACGTTCTCAAGAGATATTTGTACATTTTTTTAATGAAATTGTACCTCATTGTGAAATGAGATTAAGCTTTAAGAATATATATATAAAAAACATTAAAATATAATTGAACTAAGAAATATGAATTCTGCACATACAATAATAAATATTTCCTCTATAATAAATTTAAACACGTTTTCTTAGAAATATACTATCTTATAAATCATATATATTTTTGCAATATTTTTCAATTTAATTTTTTATAAAAATATATATATATGTATATATAATACATTAATGAACACAGGTTACTATTTATATAAATTGAGGAACCATAGCAAAATGAATTTGGTCGAATATATATAATATTAATATTATATTTTTAATACTTTCATAGTTATATATGTTTAAATGTATTAAATCATAATTATATTACATATAATATTAAGCGCATATCATTTCATTTACTAAAATTAAGATGTCATTCAAAAAAAAAATTTATAAAATAATATATTCAATTTTGAACAAGATGTTCTATATAAAAAGTTTTAAGCAAAATAATTTTATTATAAAATATATATATAATTATTAGTTAGTTTGTTTATTTAGATTCAATTTGTTTATATTATTAATACTTTTATAAACTTTATTAGGTAACATTAATATAAAGAAATTCAAGTTAAATTAATACAGTAATGCAATGTACTTAATTATATTTTTGTTTCTATTCAGAACACTAATATATAATAGATTAATAATATGTGTAAATTTACTGCATATATAATTTAATAACTTTTTACATATTTTAGTTGGATATTTCTTGAATAATCAAATTATTTATTTTAAGTACATCATATTAACATTAAAAGTGTAATGATAAATTTCATTCAGTTTATTATATAAAATTTTATATTATGTATATATAATATGATTTTTACAAGATAAAATATAAATAACATTAGAAATATTATCATTAAAATCCTTTTTATTAATTTATGCAAACATATATATCGTAGGCAGTATACTATGATTTTATAAATTTTGTTTAAAAAATATAATGAAAACGTAATATAATTAAGCACTATTAATAATATTAATTTAGATTTATCTTTAAAATTGTCTTATATACTTAATTTTGTATTAAGAAAAA